TATATTAGCTGTGTGACTCAAAAAGGCTGTTAGATTATTGTTGTTGTTATTTGTGCCACCAGAGTGAAACATCTACTCTAATACTGAAATAAATATCTCAGCTGGTTCCAGAAGAAGGGATCCAGTCCAGAGGCCCTGGGTGTAATAGCCACGGTCCCAGCTGCTTCCATTCAGCCTTTGGAAAATAGGCTAGAATCTCTATGATGTCAGCTGGTCCAAGAGCCCCAGAATGGTTTTTCTGGTTTGCGGGACCCCATCTTCCCACAGTCAGGCCTCCATGGTCCTCAAAGTGCTCCCTTCAGGACCTCATCCTCCACCCAGGGTTTTCTGACACTACCCAGACTGGAACCTTTGGTGAGGCTGATTGTTAGGCTGACTCAAGGTCAGGTCTCTGACCTTGAAAGGACATGAAAGAAAGTTTCAGCACAGCCTGGAGGGTCCTTTGGAAATAACTTGCTCTAGGGGTTTATGGGAATGGGGCAGCATGGGGGAGCATGGATAGGAAGGAGCGCTGTACCCTTTCTGGGGTCTTCTTTTGCCATCTCTCCTCTTCCCAAATTTCAGATCTTTGCATTCAATTTTTTGAATTTGCCATAACCATGCATTCTCTGTGTTATGGCCATTTACTATTTTTCTTTGCATTTCTTCACATTGTAAATGTAAGTAGATATAACTTAAAATATGATTATTTTTTTCTAAATCACAAGTTTTAAGAAAAACAAACATTTCACCAGAATGAGTTTTCTTTGGGGGATGATGAAAATTTTCTAAAATTGATGATAGCAATGATTACACAACTTTTTGAGTATTCTGAAAACACTGCAACGCATGAATTGTACGCTAGGTGAATTATAGGTCGATAAACTGTTATTAAAATAATGAAAGCAGAATATGCCCATCTACTTAATCCTGCCATGACTGTCCTTCAGTGTAAAAATACAAAATCTTTGTCAGACTTTCAAGACCTTAAGTCGTCTCATTGCTGGCTGCCCTGCTTGTTGAATCTCTGCACCCCAGTTATCCGATCATGCCAAACCAGTTGTGTCTCTCGCCTCACAGCCATTGTGTTTGGCTTTTCCTTCCTTCTGGAAGGCGCCTTCTTATAGCCAAAGGGTCTACTTGTTTATTTTCCTTAGGTCTCTGCTTAAGTTAGGGTCCTGAATCATCAAGGACACCCCTTGACCCTCCTATCTAAAATGGCACAATCCCAAGCCTCTCAGTTTCCCTTCCTCCTCCATTTTTCTATAAACATAGGGCATCCCTATGTAGTTCTTAAGCCCAGGCTTAGAGCCTGCTGGGAGCTCTTCAAGTTCCTGAAGAACTGGCCATCTCCCAGACAATTCAAGCAGACTGTGTTGTCTACAAGAAACTTACTTCAAATATGATAGGATAGGCATGTTGAAAGTTAAAGGATGGAAAAACAGGTCAGGCAAATGTTAATCAAAAAGAGCAGAAGTATCTATATTAATATCAAATAAGGTAGACCAGAGTAAAAAAGTTATCAGAGGCAGAGAGGGCCTTTGTGTAATACTAAAGGTATCAATTCCCAAAAGATTTAGAATTTGTAGACACTGACCCAACAACAGAACTTGAAGATATATAAAGCAAAAACTGGTAGAAATTAAAGAATAAATAGATGAATCTACAATTATAGTTGGGGACTTTACCACCCCTGTCTCAATAATTGATAGAACAACTAGATGTAGAATTAGCAAGGGTGTAGAAGGACTCAACAATCCCATCAAACTACAGAACGTAGTTGACGCAGATAGAGCCCACCCAGCAACAGCACAATGTACATTCTTTCAAGTGACTATGCATGATAATCATTAGGGTCACAATACAAACCTCAGCGAAGTTAAAAGAAATCACACAGGGTTATAGTTCTTTGGCTATAGTAGAATCGAATTAGAAATTAATAGCAAAGAGATAATAGGAAAATCTTCAAACACTTAGAAATTAAACAACTAGTAAATAATCCATGGTCAAAGAAGAAATCTCAAAGGAAAACAAAACATACTTTGAACTCAAATCAATTAATTTAAATTGATTTAATTTAATTCAAAATGATTTAAACTCCTGACTCAAGATCCTCAAAAAGGAAGAGTGAGTGGGAAAAAAGGGGGCGGGGGAGAAATAGGAAAGTTAAAACTAGAAGTCAATGACGTTGAAAACCAAAAAACAACTTTTAAGAGTTGTTTTTTTTTTTTTTAAAGATAGTTACACTGAAAAATTTCTATGAAGACCAGAAAAGAAAAAGAGCCAGAGAAAATACAAGTTACCAAATGAATGAATAAGGAATGTGTGAATGAATGAATGAAGCAGGGATATCACCAAAGAACATGCGGACATCAAGGGGGATCACTAGAAACTCTAAACACAGACATGTGACAGCTAAAATGAAATGGACCAACGCCTCAAAAAACATAGATGATCATAATGCATTCAGTATGATGCAGATAATTCAAATAGCCCTAGGATGATTAAGGAAATCAAAATTGTAATTTAAAACCTTTCAAAAAAGAAATCTTCAAGTCTGTATGGCTTAACTGGTGAATCTAACAAACACTTAGGCAAGAATTAACACCAATTCCACATAATCTCTCTTCAAGGGAATAGAACAGAAGGGGATAATTCCCAATTTATAGTATAAGGTTAGTATAAGCCAAATCAGAGAAAGATAGCCAAAAAGGGTAAGCTACAGATACTACGCCTCATGATTACAGATCCTTACAGATGAACATCCTTATTAAAGTATTAGCAAGCAGAAGTCAACAACATATAAAAATAATTGTACATCATGACCAAGTGGTATATAAGACTGGAATATAAGACTGTTTAAATTATTTGAAACCAAGCAATGTGATCCACCATATTAAAAGAAGAAAAACCGCTCGATTATATTAATTGATGTAGGGGGAACAAGTGTTTGATAAAATTCAACATCTGCTCATGATAAAAACTTTCAGAAAAAATAAGAAGGATGGGAACTTTCTCAATTTGTTAAGGAGTATATATAAAACAACTACAGCAAACATTACACTTAATGGTGAAAGACTGTTTCTCTTTAAGATCATGAAGCATGTGAGAATACCCATCCTTGCAGTCTTACTCAACCATAGTGTTCTAAGTTCATCGCCAGTGCAATAAAGCAAGAAAAGTAGATTAAAAGCACACAGGTCAGAAAAGAAGAAAAATACTGTCCTAATTTGCGGACATGAGTGTCTATGTAGTGAATCCTAAGGATTTGACAACATAAGTTCAAAGAAATAAAAATAATAAATGAGTTGAACAAGGTTTCAGGACATGAGATAAACATATAAAATTCAACTGTATTTCCATATACTAGTAGTGAGCATTTGAACGCTAAAAAATACCACTTACATTGCTTAAATATACTATTTATGTGTAAATATAACATAAAACATATATATGACTTTTAGACCAAAAACTACAAAGTGTTAATGAAAACAAAATAAGAGCTAAATAAATGGAGAGAGCTACCATGTTAATGGGTTCGAAGAGTTAACATAATCATGATGTCAATTCTCCCCAAATTGATACATAGATTTAATGCAATTCCTACCAAAATCCGTGGCAAGGATTGTTGTAGGTATTCTAAAAATTTATGTGGAAAAGCAAAGGAACTAGAATAGTTAGAATAATATTGAAAAAAAAGAATAAAGTAGGAGGAATCAGTCTCCAATTTCAAGCCCCTTTATAGTTGCAGTCAAGACAATGTAGTATTGGGAGATTGATCTAACATGGTGATTAGATCAGTGAAGAGCACAGAAATACCAGAAATAGATCCACCAAATATTTTTCAATTGATTTTTGACAAAAGTGCAAAAGCAATTCAATGGAATAAAGATAACTTTTTAAACAAACGATGCTGCACTAACTGATCAATAATAGGCAAACAAAAACAAAACCCCACTTCAAATTAAATCTTCTCCCTCATATAAAACTGAACTAACTCATAGACTTAAACATAAAAGATAAAACTACAAACTGTCAAACTTCAAGGGGAAAAAAAAGATGAGAAAATCTTCAGGATCTAGGGCTATGCAAAGTTTTACGCCAAAAAAAAAGCATGATCCAAAGATAATTTTTATTTCCCCAAATTGCAAAGTCTGCTGCAGTGTGAAAGGCTTTAACAAGATGGAAAGACCAACTACTGATTTGGGGGAAATATTTGCAGACAACATATTTGACAAAGGACTGGTATCTAGAATATATAAGATGCGCCCAAAACTCAATAGCAAAAAAAAAGTCCAGTTTTAAAAAAAGAGGCAACAGGAAGAGAGTTCACTACAGAGAAAATACTGACAGCAAGAGTTGTTAAACATCATTAGTCACTGAGGCAGCACAGATTAAAGCCACGGTGAGTTATCACCACGCTTTATCTGAAAGGCTACAATAAAACTAGCGACAACACCAAATGCTGGCAAGAACGCACAGAAACTGGATCATTCACAACCGTTAACAGAAATGTAACAGGAGGCAAACACTTTGGAAAACAATTTGGCAGATTCTTTAAAAACTTAAGGATGCAACTTGCAGACAACCAGCACTTGCACTCAGCCCTACAGATGCCTCGCCCACCCTGGGAGAAAATCAGGGTAACCCTCTGCACCGGGGAGCAGAGGCCATGGCTCAAGGTCACGACCCCAGCAGTACCAGTAAGTGCTGAGGGCCTCGCGTCCTTCCTGCCCACCGCACAGGGGGGTGAGCCGCCTTGGGCCCCGAGCTGGGCATCTGACAACCTGAAACCCGAGGCCGCGCAGCCTCCAGGGGTGGACTCTGGGTCCTGGGGTCTGGTGCCTGCCTCCTCCCGACTTCTCCAGGCTCCTTCCCCGGTCCCCGGGGAGCAGGCCCCACCCTTCCCTCCGGGAGGCCCGGGGAGAGGGCGGGACCCCTGCGCTGTCCCTCCCCGCTCCTCCCCCGGCCTTAAGCGGGCGCGGGGCGGGCGCGGGCAGTCGGGTGCTCCAGCTCGGCCGCCGCCGGGCGATCGCGCGATGGCGGCGCTGGCGGCCGTGGCCAAGAAGGTGTGGAGCGCGCGGCGGCTGCTGGTGCTGCTGCTCACGCCGCTCGCGCTGCTGCCGGTGCTCTTCGCCCTCCCGCCCAAGGTAATGCCCCCTCCGCCCGCGCCCCTCCGTGCCCGGGCCCGCGCCCGAGGCTGGAGACCTCCGAAGGCTGCGTCTAGACCCACCTCTCCAAACCACCGCCCTGTTCCCTGCCCGGGGCTGCTGTGGACACCCCAAACCTCTGTGCCCCTTTTCCAGCAGCTGCTTAGAGCCTGAGCCCCATTCAGCCTGCTGAGTCTCCTCTCTGGGGAGATGGTGTCTCTGTTCAGCTCTGCGCGCTGGCGTCGTGCGGCGCACTCGCTTGCTGATCACCACGGATGAAGCCAAGCTGTGTGACGGGCGCAAGTCACTTCACCTCTCTGAACTTCAGTGTCCTCATAAGTAAAAGCGGAGAAAGTGACAGTGCCAGCCTACAGGGCTGTAAATATAGGTGAGGCCACGGTGTGGATCTCGCAGACCCCGCCGGTGCAGAGTAAGTGCCCTGGCGGGTCCCTGCCAAGGTTTATGGCTGCAGCAAGGTGCAGTGCTAAACTTTGCCTGACCACACCACCTTACTTAATCCTCTCAGTGCCCCGGGGGGTGGGGGGGGTGGGGGGGGGACGGATTATTTATCCCATTTTCCAGAGAAGAAAAGTGAGGCTCAGAGAGATGAAGTGACTCGCTCAGGATCACAGCAGGCGGCTGAGTGAGGGGTGCTTCAGCCCCTGGCTTGCCAGAATCCCTCGCAGAGCCGTTTCTAGGCTTTCAAAGTAACCCCTAGAAGATCAAAGGCTGCAGGCTGAGGTCAGGAGAGTCATGACAAAGTCAACACCAATGGGGGCTGGAAGAAGATGGTCCTGTAGGTCTCTGCTGGGTTCCTTGCCTGTGCCCAGTCCACCCTGGGCATCGTGGGAAGCCACCAGGCTCATCAGACAAGGTTTCTATCTCCAGCACTTGCGTCACCTTGCCTCAACAAGATAGTCAATGTTCGTTAAAATGAAAATAGAGGGTGCAATTTATTGGTGCTTTACGTAGCAGAGACCAGGGGAGCTTGAAGAGGTGTTCAGAGAGGGCCGCTGGAGGAGGGCACAGGCATGAGGAGGTTGGTACTGTGTGGTGCCAAGGAGATCCAGGGCTAATACCCAGGCAAGGTCTTGCTTGTGCAAATGTCCACTCTTTTAGACTTTCTTGCCATCGAAGAGAAAAATAATAGATGCTGGAATAAGGATTAGGTCACTTCTTCAAAAACTGGCCCATCTGGGCTATTCCGGCTGACCTCAGGACCGTGGAGTGACCTCCTTTCTCCTCTGGGTCTCACTTTGCTTGTCTGAAAAATGGGTCAATCAGCAATGCTGGCTTCTGAGAAGTGATGGGAGGGGTGGAGCCAGGAGTCACCTAGCTTTGTGAGGCATCATTGGTGGAAGGATGGTGGGTCTGCAGGCCCCAGGCTGCGCTCAGGGAGAAGAGAGGCAACACACAGGGTCCCTCTCCCCAGCAGCCTTCTGAAAGCTTCTCTCTGCTCTGCCCTCTAGCAAGATCTGTGAACCCAGGGGCAGAGCCAAGTGTTATAAAGCCTGAAGCGTGGACGGTCATGTGCCCCTTAGCCTCGTTTTTTGGTTAATGACAGACTGCGTAGACGACAGTGGTCCCAGTGGCCTTAGTTGTGTCACAGTCTACAACACCTAGGTGCGTGTCATTACACTCTGACGTTCACACAACCACAAAAAACACCTAAGGACACATTCCTCAGAACATATCCCACTGTTAAGCCAGGCATGACTGCAGCATTTGAAAGACTGTCTTTAAGAAAAATTGTACAGATTTACAAATACAGACTCCAGCACAGGCCTCGGAAAGGGCCTTACCAGCCTCAGAGTGATTATGCTTCCATATAAGCCCCATTATGTGCAGGTAACAGGGTGCCTATAGCCCCTGCAATGGCGGGGAGCCTGATAAGGAGGGAGTTTTATTGAACACTTGATTCTTCTCTGTTCCTGGCGCCATGCTAAGATTCTCAGGCACTGTCCCACGTACTGGCCACAACCAGGGAGGCAGCTCCGATTGCATTCCTGTACTGAGGAAACGAAAGCGCAGCAAGGTAGGTGACTTGTCCAAGTGCAGACCCGGAGTGCAAGGTCTGCTCATTGAACCCTTGCATTTTACACCCTTTCCTTAGTTATAATTCATTAAGAACCTTGCCTGCTTCCCTCTGGCTCCCTGGTGGGGACCTTTTGGGTAGCCCAAGATGTCACTGCCGCTTTAAGTGACTGATCAACCAGGGTCTCTTTCCAGGAGACAGGTCCTGCTTAGTCTCCCTCAAAATCTCTGTCAGCACATTCAAAGCACCCCCCACCTAGGAGAGAGAGAGATATATATGTCCTTGGATATGAATAGCTGACATGTTTCTCAGTCTAATGTACAGCATGAATAAAAACATCCTTAGAGAACATTAAACAGAGAACATCGCAGTTTTTATTGCTCTGTGACATACATATAAAGCGAACTGAGTGAGTTTGCTATGCAAACTCAAGACAATTCTTGTAATCTAAATCAGTTTTAACCCTGTGATAACCTCTCCCAAACAAAGGCTGGAGACTAACAGCACAGCAAAAAATGCTTGATGTGCAACTGTAGCTTCAGAGCAAGAGCCCTCGGTGCCCACATCAGATTCCACTTCCGAGCCTCTTTGACCTCAAACTTCTGGAACTACCAGTGCAGGTTGCATTGTACATATGGATTCCCAAAAATGTTCACCTGTTTGCACATAGCAGATCAGGAAACCTGTCCAAGACTCTTCGGTCTTTGCCATTTGCCCCTGGCTGGGTCCTGGTCTTCCAGCTGCACCTTGACGCCTGACCGCTGTGGCTCTGCTGTCCTGGGTGTCTGTGTAGCTGGAAGGGTTGCCCTCAAGCACCTGTCCCTTGGCGACTGGTGAGCTGGGCTGTGGGGAGGCTGGAGTTAATCTGAAGGGCAGATGGGCAGGGGGGAACAATTCTTACATTATGTCCTCCTGGCTAGGGAAGGCTGTCAGCAGGCATGAAAAGAAGTGGGATGCACTTCTGGAATGCAGTGGTTGCAATTTCCAACACCACTAGGGATCCCAGCTCTTGCTTGGAGTGCCAGAGGCTTCGAAGTCAGGGTGCTGCTGGAGGAACCGCACGTTTTCCAAAACACAAGTTTTCCAAAAATGGCCACCCATGGGTTGGAAGTTTGGAGACTAGCCTCGGACACCAGTGGGGACAAACAAGATGGTTAAAGCTTGTGAATACCAGCCTCGTGTGTGCCCCTTTTCCTGCCTGTACCCACTGCAAGCAAATGAAGCTGGATGACCATCTGGCCGAGATGAGTTCTTACACTGGGTGTTCACAGGGGACTTTCTAAGGATGCTTTCAGGAGGAGGAGTTTGGGGTGTTCTAGGCAGGACTGCCACCGGGCGTTGTATGGGTTGTGCAGTGTGCAAAGGGCCTGGAGTTGGCTGGAGGTGAGACTGACCATCCTGTACGCCACATGTCAAGCTGTCCCCTGGCGCAGCGCTGGATCTCCCGAGGAAGGGCTCCTTGTCCTAATTTGCACAAAGGTATCAAGCCGACTTGCTCTGGGGTGGTGAATCTTTTTAGGGGATGGTAGTGCACCTGTAAGGTCAGAGGCCCACTTTCTTGCATTTGCCTAATTCTTGTGTCAGGGATTAGGGGTGCAATTTAGGTGGATGACCCCCCAAAATGGTCATTTTATTCCATTTGAAGTCTTTGGAATCAGATCTGGATTCTCATCCACATACTTGCTCTGTGACCTTGGACATGGTATTTTCTGGGCCTCGGCTTTTACATGTATAACATGGCCCTAAGAGCACCTTCTTCCCTGGTTTTTATTTGGGTCCAGTGAGATCATATATGTGGCTGCACCACTACGTCTTGCTTTTTACTCAGCGCTCAGAGCATGCGCATTCTGCAGATGAGGAAACAAACTCACAGAAGCTAAATGGTGAACAGAGGATGTGCCCGGGAGCTGAGAAGAATTGGGTTTGGGTCTCGGTGCTGAAACTACGTACGAGACAGGGGACCCTGGGTTAGAGACTCCTCATTTCTAAGTCTCAGTTTACTCATTTGTGAAGTGGGAAGAATTCACACCTTCCCAAAGGGCTGTTGTGAGACTTAATTAGAAGATAGAGACATTGTCTAGTGGGGCCCAAAGCTTACTGGGTACTTATAAAAATATCAGCTCAGCTTTTTCTTATTTATTCTGTTTTACATGCCTTTCATATTTTAGCTCATTTACTCTTCACATCAGCTTTAAGATGTAGGAATAACGGTGATCCCCACTTTTACAGAGGAGGAAGATGAGGCACAGAGAAGTTAAGTAGTGTTCCTGAGGTCACACAGCGACTTCAACCACTTCTTTCCTGTCCTCTCCATCCTGGGCTTTGGGAGATAGGGTGGACAGGATTCTGAAAGGCCCTTGAGTCTTCTCTAGTAGGAATATCCCGGAAGAAAGCACAAGTCCAGCCCCTTGAGTCAAATACCTTCTCTGGCCAGACACTGCCTAGTGCTTTTAACTTTATTATCACATTGAGAGCTTGGCCAGGGAATCTGTCGACATCCACCAAAAGTGTCTGATTTGGTTTCAATCATCCAAATACCATCCATGTCATTTTTCCTCTTCTTGATATTATATACTTGATTACATTCCTATCATACATCTGCTTTTTAAACACTGATGCCTTATTGCCTTCCCCCCACTTTAAAAACAAATACAATGACTTAAATCAGAAGGGAAAAAAAAAGGGAATTTTATTTAAGGACCTTGTCTGAAAATCTAGGAATCTGAATGATTAATAGAAGAAAACCAGCAACAAATAAACAATTACTAAGTGCTGGCTTTTTCTGACACCTTGTGCAACTTACTTGATGCTGAGGGCCTGAGAGCAGCCCTTTCTTTGTTAAAGGAGAGAAAAATGGCCAGGAGGGACTTAAGACAAGCTAGCACCAAACTGAGACTTTGTTCTGGAAGGAAGGAGAAGGAGGACAGAATCAGAAACGGATTCTTTGTTTTTCTTCTGTGAATGA